CGAACCCGCGTCTCCTGCATCGGCAGGCGGACTCTCAAGCACTGCGCCACCAGGGAAGCCCAACACTTATTCTTAAAAGGATAATTGTACCACCTTTAATTCCAAATTCCCGTCTTCCAAATATAGACACTGTAAAGTAACTGGGTTGTTTTTTTACATTTATACAATATTTCACTGCTTTGTGAGCAAGACTGCAAAATTTCTACATTTAAAGAAAAAGATATTATTTTTATAAATTTTTCTTGTGAGTATTTAAGATGTATTTTTATATAATCCATAAACATCTAAATACAGCCAAGGGCTTCCCTGGTGGCGCAGTAGTTAAGAATCCGCCTGCTGATGCAGGGGACATGGGTTCAAGCCCTGGTCTGGGAAGATCCCACATGCTGTGGAGCAACTAAACCCGTGCGCCACAACTACTGTGCCTGCGAGCCACAACTACTGAAGCCCACGCACCTAGAGCCTGTGCTCTGCAAGAGAGAAGCCACCTCAATGAGAAGCCTGCGCACCACAACAAAGAGTAGCCCACACTAGCTGCAACTACAGAAAGCCCGTGCACAGCAATGAAGACCCAACACAGCCAAAAATAAATAAATACATAAAATAAATAAGTTTAAAAAATATATAGCCAATTATTCAACATTCTTAATCATATTCTTTTATGTCCTTATTCATATTTTATCTCTTTATCATAATCTGATGGCTATGTGTTAAAATCTATTACTACCAATAAGAGTCTGTCAGTATCTTTTATTTCTCACTATTTTTACTTTAGCATTTTGATGCTATGCTAATTGGCATGTCCAAGGGTATAAATTCTTCATTTTAATTGTTATTAATTGGCAAAGTAAAAAATTAATTGACAAATCATATCTTTTTTTTAAACATCTTTATTGGAGTATAATTGGTATACAATGGTTTGTTAGTTTCTGCTTTATAACAAAGTGAATCAGCTATACATATACATATATCTCCATAACTCCTCCCTCTTGGGTCTCCCTCCCACCCTCCCTATCCCACCCCTCTAGGTGGTCACAAAGCACCGAGCTGATCTCCCTGTGCTATGTGGCTGCTTTCCACTAGCTATCTATTTTACATTTGGTAGTGCATATATGTTCATGCCACTCTCTCACTTCATCCCAGCTTACCCTCCCCCCTCCCTGTGTCCTCAAGTCCATTCTTTATATCTGTGTCTTTATTCCTATCCTGCCCCTAGGTTCTTCAGAACCACTTTTTTTTTTTTTGATTTCATATATATGTGTTAGCATATGGTATTTGTTTTTCTCCTTCTGACTTACTTCACTCTGTATGACAGTCTCTAGGTCCATCCCCCTCACTACAAATAACTCAATTTCGTTTCTTTTTATGGCTGAGTAATATTCCATTGTATATATGTGCCACAACTTCTTTATCCATTCATCTGTTGATGGACACTTAGGTTGCTTCCATGTCCGGGCTATTGTAAATAGAGCTGCAATGAACATTTTGGTACATGACTCTTTCTGAATTCTGGTTTCCTCAGGGTATATGCCTAGTAGTGGGATTGCTGGGTCATATGGTAGTTCTATTTGTAGTTTTTTAAGGAACCTCCATACTGTTCTCCATAGTGGCTGAACCAATTCACATTCCCACCAGCAGTGCAAGAGTGTTCCCTTTTCTCCACACCCTCTCCAGCATTTATTGTTTCTAGATTTTTTGATGATGGCCATTCTGACTGGTGTGAGATGATATCTCATTGTAGTTTTGATTTGCATTTCTCTAATGATTAATGATGTTGAGCATTCTTTCATGTGTTTGTTGGAAGTCTGTATATCTTCTTTGGAGAAATGTCTATTTAGGTCTTCTGCCCATTTTTGGATTGGGTTGTTTGCTTTTTGGTTACTGAGCTGCATGAGCTGCTTGTAAATTTTGGAGATTAATCCTTTGTCAGTTGCTTCATTTGCAAATATTTTCTCCCATTCTGAGGGTTGTCTTTTCATCTTGTTTATGGTTTCCTTTGCTGTGTAAAAGCTTTTAAGTTTCATTAGGTCCCATTTGTTTATTTTTGTTTTTATTTCTATTTCTCTAGGAGGTGGGTCAAAAAGGATCTTGCTGTGATTTATGTCATAGAGTATTCTGCCTATGTTTTCCTCTAAGAGTTTTATAGTGTCTGGCCTTACATTTAGGTCTTTAATCCATTTTGAGTTTATTTTTGTGTATGGTGTTAGGGAGGGTTCTAATTTCATTCTTTTACATGTAGCTGTCCAGTTTTCCCAGCACCACTTATGGAAGAGGCTGTCTTTTCTCCATTTATATTCTTGTCTCCTTTATCAAAACTAAGGTGACCATATGTGCGTGGGTTTACCTCTGGGCTTTCTATTCTATTCCATTGATCTATATTTCTGTTTTTGCGCCAGTACCATACTGTCCTGATTACTGTAGGTTTGTAGTATAGTCTGAAGTCTGGGAGCCTGATTCCTCCAGCTCTGTGACAAATCATATCTTGATACATATTTCTTCTATTAGCTTTGCCACTCTCATTCTGTTGTTTTGTCTGGTGAATCTTTGATCATTCTTTTATTTTTAACCTTTCTTTATCTCTCTGATGACTTTTCCAATTCACACTGAGGTGCCTGCCCTCAGAGACATTCTAGAAATTCACATTTATTAACTCACATTAACCCAAGAGCTGCAAAAAGTTAGAGAGACAGATCAGTACACTTGGTATTGATATATTCGAAGTTCTGTACAGTCTTGGCATTAGAGCCACCACTGTGCTTGCTATAGGGCATGCCTTCTGGTGTGTCAATACATGTCTCAACTTTTGAAAGCACCCTAGCCTTAAATGCCAGGAATTATCCAACTTGGCTTCAGGAAGAGTGCATGTCTTAATGCTCCATTAGTAATTAATGAAAGAAGCAAACACAGTTTCCTTTATGGAAGACCTGCCAAGGCTCTGTTTACCTCTGTGTACCAGTGCCATTAGAATGAATGGCACTCTTGTTAGGAAGCAACAGATGTTTAGCACCAGGCAGATACATTATAACACAGGCTCTTTTAAAACTATATTTAATGACATCAAATCAAGAAATACTGAGGAACTATGGGAGATAGATGGAAGTAAAAAAAAAAAATGCTATCCTTTGCTCTCCAAGAGCTTGAATTTTATAGACAAGTAACCACATATAGAAAATAATTAGAAAAAGACATAGTTGAGTATACAATCAAATGCTAGTTATCTGGTTCAGTATAATGTTTAGATTATGCTGATCTATTGCACCTGAAACCAAGTCAACCAAACTGTTAGGATGCCATGGATGCTATTTGGTCCATTCGTCTCATACTCAACCAAACATATTTTAAAATCATTATTCAGTCAGCTTAAAAAAATATGTACTGAGTACATACTACACATCAAGACGTGGACTAGAGGGTCAGTGATGAACCGGGTAAATATGGGCCCTGCTCTCACAGAGCTTACGGTCTGCAAGAGATACATAATGAAACACATATTTAATGATACAGATGAACTTATTTACAAAACAGAAATAGACTCACAGACATAGAAAACAAACTTATAGTTACCAAAGGGGAAAGGGTTAAAGGGGGGAGGGATAAATTAGGAGTTTGGGATTAACATATACACACTAATATATATATAATAGGCTACTATATAGCACAGGGAACTATACTCGATATTTTGTAATAACCTATAATGGAAAAGAATCTGAAAAAGAATATATCGGAAAGAATATATCTGAAAAGAATCTGAAAAAGAATATATATATATATATATATATATATTTTATATATATATAGGTATATAACTGAGTCACTTTGCTATACACTTGAAATTAACACAACATTGTAAATTAACTATAACTCAATAAAAAAAGGAAGCACAGATTTAAGATGCAGAGTTGTGATGCACTTATAGTGTAACTGGGATACAGTGAGATGTCACAGGTGTGTAGAGAAGAAACATCTAACCCAGATCTAGGATGTGGAGGATTGCCTGCAGGAAGCAATGTACCAATGATTATGTGCAGTGCTGTAGAAGGCACAAACATAAAAGACATGATTCCTGCTCTCTACTTGGTTCTTCATTCTAGTTGGTTGTTTAGCACCAACACAATAAGCCAGTGGTACGTGATAAGATACATTCCCTGATACAATTCATTATGGCATAGACAATAAATGATGTAGAAATTCAGGAAATAGGGAACCTTCCAGGAAAACTTCCATGGAAGAGGTGACACTTAAGTTGAATCATGAAAGGCAGGATCCATCCGTATAGGTGGCAACGAAGAAACCACAGGCGAGGGCACAGAGGTAGGTGTGAGCATGGGATATTTGAGCACCAGCGATGAGCACTGCTGGGGAAGGGAGAAGCTGGATGGGAGAGGAGAAAGCCAATGCCAAGCCGAAAAGTATGAATTGATATAATAACAAGTAGCAACCAAAGCTTTCTGGGCAGGAGAGTGATATAATAATTGGATGTTGTATAGAACATTAATTTATCAACAGCTTAAAGCCCCCTTTCCTACCTCGGGGTGCACATCAGTATCACTTGTGGAGTTTTTCAAAATTCCAATGCCCTCTACTCCAGATCCACTGTACCCAAGCATCCTTCTGAAGACCACTGTACATAGGTAAATTGGAAGGAAGTTAAGAAGACCTAATAAAAGGCTACTGCTAACAACTCAGGGGAGAAGCGATAAGGATTGGGGTTGGGGTGGCCACAGCATGAGTAGAAATAAGAGAAATTTCAAACAGTGCACAAAGGAGAGATGAGTCAAGAGTCCATGAGGTTTCCAAAGTCTAGAGCCCCCTTGATTTGGGAAAATAATGCCA